TTTTCCTTTTTTCCTTTAATACTCTCTCCTTCTCCCTTCCCCTCTCCATTTCACGTCGTTTTAACGGGTCATTTAAGACGCGGGGGAGAAGGTATCGATGTTTTTTTTTTTTTTTTTTCCTTTAATACTCTCTCCTTCTCCCTTCCCCTCTCCATTTCACGTCGTTTTAACGGGTCATTTAAGACGCGGGGGAGAAAAACTTTAGGTATCGATGACTCTATCGCGCGCGAAGTAAAACGCCACTTGTATCACTCTATTCAAGTGTCACACTTGAGGTCGAGACCTTCTAGTACCGAACTTAAAAACTCCTGGATGAAATAAAGATCGTTTTAGGATCGAACAACAATGTATCTTTATATCCTTAGAAAATTCGGCGTACACCCACACAAATTGCCGCATCGGGCAATTTACAAACGTATTCGGACTTATTTAAGACGAAAAGATTATACTACGACGAGGAGAGAGCTCCGAAAATATCAGAGATTCAGCTGTGCATTATAATATCGCTTCGGAAGATTGTTCTTTTGTAGCATAGATGCATTCGCTTTTTAATTAACGCGATTGGTTTTTCTACTCGAGAGGAAAAGAAGGGCATTTTCGAGTCTTCGCGGCATCGATCCTGACGCGAGGCTCTCTCTCTACTTTCTTATTTCGAGTCAACAGTGTTGAATATTGCAACATGCATGCGAGCATTCCGCGAAATGTGTTATATGTATGTATGGGTGCGCGGTGTGAATGTACAATACTTGTACGGCACGACACGCGGTATAGTCTAGTCAGGGTCGAATTATTATGGCTGGCTTCCATTTACAGGGCTGCATGACGATTGACGATCGTGTAATACCCGCCGTGGTATTGCTATATGCAGGAAATTGCGAGCAATGGAAATTCTTTTATTTAAACATATATGTGTCTATTCGCGCCCGTTTCAATTTGATACGCGATCTGCGGCTTTTAAATGCGCGCAAAATATATTCGAATAGAATATATTCTACACTCTACTATATAGTTTGCATTAATTTAAATATTTTAAAAATTCTTATTTTCAATTTTCAATTGGAATTTTCACCTAATTTTTTTTATAAAGGATATGTATATTTTCTAAATTAAAATGATGGGCTAGAAAAAAAAAAAAAAAACGGGAACGGCGTGTTATGAAAAACCTGCGCCAAATCGCAATGAGATTCGTGTATAATAAAATATAGTCGTCCATTAGTATGTTCAACTTTTTCCGCCATCGGCCAACTGAATTATACGAGCGGATTAATTTTCCTGCATTGCTTGTCTCCAGTGTTGTTCAACTTAACAGCCGTGCAGACAGCGCGGCATAGACATTATCGTATAAAGTCTCTCTAATGACAAGGCGGGTAAGGAGAACGTAACGGAGAGTCGATGCACAACCCTGGATATGGAAATTCAGTCTTTATAAGGCACAAAGAATCTGGGCGATTGTGAACGGCGAGCAAACTCAAGCAGCGATGGCAGCGCTTATAAATGAGGGCAAATGTTGAAAACGGTCTTTCAGCACAAATTATTCATACACCTTATTATTAGGCACTAACGACCGAAGGGAGATGACATAGGTATTCGACTTGGTAAAAAGTGTAACGCGCGAATATCTCCGAAACGATTTGAAATATCAAGAAATTCTTTTGTCTTGTGTGTGTGTTTGTGTGCGTATCTCTTGTACAACGATCAACAAATTGAAAATTTAAATATCAAAAGATCAGGTACAAAACATAATTAAATACTATTAAAAATCGGAGATTATTACATGTATCTGTTTGCTTTCACGATATATCGATATTATTTAAGTAAAGAATCTAAAATTATAAAATTAAAAATGTCAGAGAGCGAGAATATATACGTGAAATAATCGGGGAAAAATATTATTTGTGAATCAAAAATATATTAAGTCGTAATATTACACATGCTAAACTAACAGAATTGAAATAGTGTAGAAAGGATTGATTAAATATTCTTTTATTATATTTTCCATGCAAACTGACATGTGTCTCTGTTGCTGAGGAAAGCAAATTTTCTTTTCGCGTGGGCGTTCCAAACAGGATTTAGAGTTCATAGTTTAATTAATCGTGTGTGTCAGCTTCATCTCTCCGCGCAACTATTTAAATGCTAATTTGCTCCCAACTTTTCACATTAGCCTGATTTCCATAAGAGAGATTTATTAATCATTCATATTTATAATATCCATTGTTATATAATAATATAAATAATTTTCATTTATCCGTCTAAATGTACTTTTTCATGTAATATTAACGTACGTTCTATATACGATTTCCACATGAAAGCAATTGTGTCGTTTTGCGCGATGTGACATTTATAACATCGTTTGATCAATTTCTTTCTTCATCAATCATTTTTTTTTTATCCCTCTTTATTATCAAACTGTCGTCATAAGCAGATTCAACATATATGTGGCTTAGGAAAAATTATATGCAAATATGTATATCGGGCAGTAATTTATTTATTGTAAAATGAGAGAGAGAGACACGCGTAAAACGTTTTGCGCGTGCAAATTGTTAAAAATTTCAAGATAATATCTTATTGCTAACGTCATTATTGCAGAGATGCGTATTTTAAGATTTTATGAAGCTGTGAAATTTTTTTCGAAATTAAAACGGGAAACGACAACAATTCATGAGAAATATCAGGTACTCGGTGTATAAAGTTGGAGTTTTAATTACAGAATAAACATATATACGTATATAAAAGCAACGATTGTGCGTAATAAATAATATCAAGGCTGTAACATGATAGTTATTCGTTCGCGAATTAAAACGTAATGAATTTGCAGTGTGTGCGCGGGAAAGATGATATTAATCCAACGGTTGAAATCTCTTAGTAGATTTATAGGATATTTTTCTTACAGTCTCATTAACGCCGATATTGAATGCGATCAATTTCTCTCGTCGGTGAGAATCGAATCGAATAAAAAGACGATACGTGTATTCGGACTCGTGACTTGTTGTCAACGATGCGATCGAAAAATTTTGAAGGAAAAGAACGCGGCTGTCCCCCCGATATCGAATCGCACGAACGAAAACGCGTAATGCGTACATACGCGTGCGTAATATGATTAATTTTGTCGAAGAAACGACGATTGTCTACGTCTACGAGGTGAAACGCCAACTGTATATGTATATTTATGAGATCCGTACATACATACACACATACAAACACACACACTCTCTCTCTCTCTCTCTCTCTCTTTTTCTCTCAATCGCACATGTGTCTATGTGATATGCTTTTGTCATTCCTCTCTCTGCACTCTTCTCTCCCTCTCCCCTTCCCACTTCCGCTTCCCTCCCAGGCGCAACAGATATACATACACATATGACGCAGAAGAAGACGTTCTCTCACATCAGATCTCAAACATACGCGAACCGCGCTATGACTCTGTGTTTGTTTGGCGCGTGTGAGCGAACGGAAGAATGGCCGTTGAGGCTGTTCTTTCCCTTATTGATATTATACATATGATGATATTAGGGGAGGGTATAGAGGAGCTCGTGTGGATTGGTCCCGGCGATATTCACGGTGCGCGAAAAGTGATACAGGCCCCCGCGTCCTCACCGCACCTAAGAGCGATTGTTCGAAGAGAAGAAAATCTCGGTATATAAGGAGAGATCTCCTATAGAATAAGGATTTTCCACATTTTTCACCGCTCATTTAGCGCCGCATCGATGATGAATGTAGCCACGCGATTCTCTCTCCGAATTTCGTTCGTCTAATTTAAAGATCGCGTAACAATATCGAGATGATAGAGGGAAAAATCGGAAAGCGCTCACGTTTATCGCTAGATACACTGTAAACATTTTTCTAAAAGTTTAGACACATTTTTGTCTGAATTTTCTGTCTGAAAGAAACTTCAGAAGAGTTGGTCTGAAAATTGAAGCGTGTCTGAAAATTCAGACAACGTTCTGTTTGAAAATTCAGACAGTGTGTCTGCAAAAACGCTGCAGAGAATTCGGTGAAGTTTCAATCAATTTTTTTTTACAGTGTAGGCGGTGAGAATCAAGCAAAATGCATGCGGGGAGAATAACAGTTGTACGGGCGTGTAAATGTACGACGAGCAGATGTATCTATCGATAACCTTGCTATTAAACACGTGCTGCAATGCGGAGATGCAATCTCCACTGTTGTTTATTCGTTCTATCCGATTACGCGAGTGTTTCGTGGAAAAAAAACGGCGCTAACGAAATAATACAATTGCGCGATAGATATAGACGATGCTTGCGGAAGATTGGAACGCGGGGCTTTCTTTCGTGATGAGTAATCGATTTTCTTTTTTCTTTAATCGAGGAAACGTGATATATAGACCGTTTAGCGATGATATTGACAATGCAAAAATGTATAGTGTCGACGTAATGAAGTTTACATTCCCGGGTTTCTACTATGCGGGCGTATCCCTCTCGCCGCGAGTGTGTATTATCTTTCAGAGATCTCTCATCATTTTATCTTAAATTTAGAAGCCACGCGAATGATGCGCGATGTTCACGTGAATCACAAACATGATGATGGTCTGGTGGACGGTATAAGACATTCCGGCTGCACTCTCTTGCGGGATATTTCCGTTTGTCTATTAATCGCCAATTACTCGAAAGTGAAAAACAACATTTTGAAAAATAAGGAACAAACGTTAAAGTCATTCTTGCATCTCTATATAAAAGTGGAATTCCCGTAACTATAGTATTCGATAAATATCCGAAATTATCTGACACGATTCATTTAAGAAACAGACGAAAAAAGAGAAATTACGATTATTTTCATAGTAAATATATATTCAAGAAGAAAGTATATAGAGGAGAGAAAATTAAATTATAAAAATATAAAGTATATTCTCTTGTCTAGAGCGCGGAAATTATAAATATATGTATCACGTGGCGTGTTTATATATATATATATATATTTTATCTTTTAGAAAGCGCGAAAGGAAAAATTTAGATATAATTTTTCTCAAAAAGATCCATGTGTTTTCGACGATATATATATATAAGTGCCAATACACATCGATTCGTTTATCCGCTACCAATGATATTATTTGCGTTATTTCTTTTACAAATATGAAAATAATTCAAATCATGAAGCAAAGGAAGGAGGAAAATTTTCTATTTGCTACACGAGTTTTTCTCTCTCTCTCTCTCTCTCTCTGTTTACACACACAGTTTGTCTATTTAGATCGATTAATGACTCGTACTATAACCGTCGAGAGATTCTCGCATTCGCTTTTATCTCCTTTTTTTCTTCCGTCCCGATGACATATATTAAATATTATTTGGCATCTAGAATTAACGGGGAAGAGGTACGTAGAGTACAAACTGCCCTTCCGAGCAGTTCTTCCGGTGATTACTTCTGTCGCGTGTCCGGACAGAGCGACTCGAGAGCGGCAGAACCACTCGTTTTCCCTTCTTCTCGATTAATTCTACACGTTCCCAGATAAACAATAGATATACACTCTTTGCGGTCTGGCGATAGCCGGCCGCGGGACTTTTACCGGTTTTTTTTTTTTGTTTTCCGGGGTCGGAGCTCAGCCGCCACGCTCGCCACGGCAGTGTTTATTTTGCCTAGCCGTTTGTAAAATTGTGGGCAACAAGAAGCCGCAACGCTTGGACGATGCAGCGAGGTATTAAATTTATTTTCCCACCTCCTTCCCTTCCCTCTTTTTCTTTCTCACTCTCTTTCTCTCTTTCCAAAGCGCGTTCCTGAATGATAACATTTTTTTTACGGATCTTACAGGGAGGAGGGGGGCGGGGGGACAATCTTTGATTAGGGGTACACGCCTAAGCGCGTTCGCTCCGAATTAATTCCGACCAGTGAGTGATAGCCGTCTGTCTCTGTGAGCGCGCTACGACCGCAAAATGGTTAATCCAAACCTCCGGCTCTCTTGGTCCCGTTGGTTCGTAGGTTACAATTCCTCCGGTCTTCCTCTGCAACCCACCATACGAGGAAAAAAAGAAAAAGAGACACTAAAGATTGGTCGATTCGGTCGACGCTTAAGATTCGTACAAAAATCGCGAACTCTGTCTAAATGTTTATCAATCTTGGACGCAACGCACTTTTTTCAGAGACTCGAATAAATGGCACCGATAACACGCTATTAATTTTCTTTAGACGCATGTCGTTTTGAAAGATGAAGAGAAATATGGAGACATTAATAATAAGTAGCACACGTTAGAGAGGTAAACTGGTACGGGTATTCGAATCTCGCGTTTCATAGTCGGTTGTACGATATACATTTAATAATTATGTGTCAAACGCGCATACACATGCGCTTTGCTGCAACGTTTTACTTTACGTCTCGTGCACGACATAAGCATTAACACGCGAAATTTGAATTTGTAAAGAATATACGAGAGATTACTTAGATATAGAGAACGAAAACGCGTATGTGCAAGTGATTGTATAATGAGGATTTTGCAAAATTGCGATTTACGTTATCTTTGATTAGGAGATTGATCTGGTGCTTTCTTTTTTCACCTTGCGTTCTTTGTAATTCCGTCTATTAATGCTAAAACAATAACGATTAAACAATTGTATAAATTTTAATACGGTCAGTAAGATATCAACTTTACGCGCTGAAATAACTTTTAGATAAGTCATCTAAAAAGTCCAAGTAAAATTCATCGCGTGATGATGTGATCTCTCGTGAATAAGCATAAGGTATAAAGAGCACGCAGCAAACGAATACGATAATTTATAGCCGACATGTGAAAAAACCTATATACCGAATTCAATTGGACTTGGTCTTTTTGTCGGATTAATCTCTGTCAAATAGTGAAATTAAGCAGAATTGCGATGCAAAATGACCAGAATTGAAACTTTGTATCGGATTATAGCGCGAGTGCCAATTACAAGATCTTGATCTTTCATATAGTTCTGATTGCGTAGCGGGTAGATTAACAAGAGATAAAGGAGAGTGGAGCTCGCGAGATTCGTGCGAGCGTGAGAATATTTTGTTTTTTCTTTTAATCGAGCTCGTTCGAGTTACCTGTTTTCGTGGCGAACGGATCCTTGGGATGATTGGTCTTAATGGCGTTCATTCGGCGATTCTGCGGTCCTTGGCCACCACCGGGGCACCCGACACCGGGCGTCTGGCCCATGCCGTGGGGCCCAGTGGCGACCGTGCTACCGGCGGACTGCAGATGCAACGATTGCTGGCCGCAGCCAGGGTGTCCGATGGCCCCGGGTCCGCCGGGCCCACCGGGCGGCGCACCTGGTGCCCTCACACGTGGCTGCTCGACGGGCAGTACGCGGCGTCTCTTCTTGGGTAACTTGGCTCGCGCCTGCGTGTGACTGTAATACATCGCAAAGTTGCTAACGATCACGGGCACCGGCAGGGCGATGGTGAGGACACCGGCCAGCGCGCAGAGCGCGCCGACAAACATCCCGATATACGTTTTCGGCACCATGTCCCCGTAACCGACGGTCGTCATCGTCACCAGGGCCCACCACAGACCGAGCGGTATGCTCTTGAAGTCGTTCTTGGGGTTGTACTGAGTGCGCTCCGCGTAGTACACGAGACTGGCGAAGATGACGATGCCGAGAACGAGGAAGAATACCAGCAGCGTGAGCTCCTTGGCCGAGGCGCGAAAGGTCTGTATCAGGATTTTGAGGCCCGACGAGTGACGCGTGAGCTTGAACAGTCTCATTATTCGTATGATGCTCAAGAACTCGAGGATGTCGGCGTTCTCCAGATGGGCCGCGAATCGCTGCAGCGCGAGGTCGACGTAGAAGCTCAGGGTGGCGACCATGTCGATAAGATTCACCGAGCTCTTGATGAAGTCGCAGCGATTCGGGCTCGCGGTGATGCGTATCAAGAACTCCAGGGTGAACCAGGCGTTACAGATGCATTCGATGTAGAAGAAGACATCGTGGGCGTTGGTGCGGGTCTTGTCCACCACCCAGGACGTTACGTTGTCAGTCTTTACCGAACGGTTCACGATCATCGGTACTCGCATGTCCGGATGGGTCTTGAGGCAAAACGAGAGTATTGAAACGCAAATGAAGAAAACGGAGACTATGCTGATTATCTGAAAGATATCCAGATGTACGAGCAGACTTTTAATAACTGTTGCATTTAGCGATTGTGCATAATATCGATGCGTGTAATTCCAACTTGAATTGTACCTTGGCTGCGACGGAGGAGTAGGGTTCATCGAATAGTGACCATATCTGAGGCTTGAGCTTCTGCCACCACGTAAGAGTCCCCTCGTAGTACGCCTCCTCGAAGCCGAATTTCCTAGCTAGTTCCTCTTCGGTGGGTTTCTCGGTGTCGAGGTCCAATCTGTCGAGGACTGTCAATGTTTCCTGCGTGTCCCGGTGCTGCAAGGTGCGTTCGGAGCGAAGAGGTTGGGAGAAAAAAAGAGAAAGAGATGCAACAAGGATTGTTATTCGTACGTGCGAAACTCTTTCTTGCGTGTGTTTTGTTTGCCTTTGCGGCAAATAAAGCTCGCGTGAAAAAAGCGAACCGCGTCTTGCGTGCGTCCTTGCGTGAAAAAGATACCTGCTTGGCTTCGATCGGCCTACTAACTAATGACTTTTGTGATCATGTATATTTGATTTACTCTTGTTTTATCCGAGAAATAATGTTCACATTTAAGACATAATTAACGATTCTATATCTTTTTTGCAAGATTTGCTTTCATGAAAATGTATGAACAGGATGGTTCCTTTAAGGACGATTCAATAACTCTCATTAAATATCTACCTTTATTTATTACGTTTTTTTCATCTCTCTATATTTTTTTTATTATTTTGAATATCATAATTTTGTTTAATCATGTAAAATTAATCACACATCTTTCACTGTGTAGATTCTTAAAATTGACTGCCATTAAAAAGAAAAGACATTAATAAATAAGAGCACTTGAGTGAAAAAACGTCAATGCTGTGCATTAAAATCGTGAAGAAATATGAGTGTGATTTATAATAGAAGACATACAGTACTTTTTTATAGAATAAATCAGCGATAAATTTTTCCAGCATGTCCGATAAATGATTCTGCATCAAAAGACTAATATATACTACAAGTCGGTTTCCGTTCGTTATCTTGACTCGCTTGATAAGCTGGAAAAATTTATCTAGCGGAATATCCTGTATGTATATTCTGCTTTTCATATATACACCTATTCGTATAACGTACTCTGTCCGTAATATACATATAAAATATATAAAAATATAATATATTATTTATAATATAAAAAATATATATATTCGTTTTTCACTCTGGGATCTCGAGTGCGGTCGTTGGTGCACGCTTAGGCGTGATTAGGCGTGATTTAGGCGCGGGTATTTGAGTCGGACATTGTTCACGATATACCTGCGTATAGGTCATCCAACAGCAAGGCTCGACCTGATTGGTCCGCAGACGTCCGTGGGATAGTGCAGCTTCCCGGTGCGATAGTAGTTGAGTACCTGAGCGAATACGCCCGGGTGCCTGTCGAAGAAGTATTCGTTGAGGATCGGGTCGTAGTTGGCGAGGGCCTCGGTCAGACGCGAGAGCCTCGTCGCCGGGATCTTCTTCAGGGTCGCCTTGTACGTCTCGTGCCGGATACCGCCCACGTTCAGAACCACGCGGTTCTCCGCGTCCATGTTTATCAAGTTCATTTTGATCACGGCTCTGCTACCGCCGGCCCCGACGACTCAAAGAAACCCATGTGATCTGCGAACAATTAGCGCAATTGCGTCGCGTGATCCGAAATTCAATCTATCATTCCTCGTCAAACCGATTGAACTTTCTAGAGTTACATCATTTAATTTAATTAATTAGGATTATAATATTATGATCATATTAATTATTTTATTCAATTAAATCAATCATTTGATTTAATTTGTGTTTTTATAAAGCGTGAGAATCGTTTATTAATTTAACAATTTTAATTTAAATCTTGTTTCAAACGTGCGTAAATAATTTTTTTTTTGTAGTAAAATAATTCGAAGGATTTCCAAGAACTTTATTAATTGGACGATTCGTTTCTGTTAAAACACGACAAAAATTGTTTCCTCAAAATTTACGCAATGATTTCTGATCGTACTATACGAGATTAAAATCGTGTAGGCTACATAATCTTATTCTCCGTTATGTTAAAATCACATATCCGTGATCCTAAAAGGATCAAGCGAAGAGCATGAAAACGATTTTATCGTAATGTATTATCCTGGTTGCTTTGACATCCCCGTAATGTCATTTGGATTACATAGCATGGCCCCCGCCGCGACGAGGAATATGTTATAATAGATGCCGTTGCAGCTTCAAATTCTGCTAGTTTCAAAAACCATTTCAGCGACCGCGTGAATCGGGATACGAACTCCGCTACATTTAATATTACGATAATTGTGACGTTTGACATTTAATCAAAAGCCGCTTATACGGCTCAACAGTACGCCTCGTAAATAGTTAGCGCCCGGAACTGTGCCGGCTCTTTAAATCCTCTGTGTATGTGTGTGTGTGTGTGTGTGTGTGTGTGTGTGTCTGCGAGAATCGCATTCATTCAAGTTTCATCCCGTTATTCTCGCGACGTAATGAACGAAGAAAAAAAAGAAGTACAGCGTTGCGAGAACAAGAGTTTGTATCTTTGCTGCCGCGAAAACACACAAGGATTAAAATAAAAATATGTGCGATACAATTATAGAGAATTAAATTGGATTAAAAACTATTATAAATGCACACAATTGAAATAATCGAAAAAATATCTATTACAACTGTATGCGCACAATAGTCCCACTTATGACGTCCGCTGTAAAAAAATTTCTACAAATTTAGACACATTTTTGTCTGAATTTTCAGACAAAAGTAACATCGATACATTTGTGGCAAATTATGCACGCATGTCTAATGTATCTGATAACTCCCGCCGTGTGTGTGTGTGTGTGTGTGTGTCTGCGAGAATCGCATTCATTCAAGTTTCATCCCGTTATTCTCGCGACGTAATGAACGAAGAAAAAAAAGAAGTACAGCGTTGCGAGAACAAGAGTTTGTATCTTTGCTGCCGCGAAAACACACAAGGATTAAAATAAAAATATGTGCGATACAATTATAGAGAATTAAATTGGATTAAAAACTATTATAAATGCACACAATTGAAATAATCGAAAAAATATCTATTACAACTGTATGCGCACAATAGTCCCACTTATGACGTCCGCTGTAAAAAAATTTCTACAAATTTAGACACATTTTTGTCTGAATTTTCAGATCTGGGTGTCTGAAAGAAATTTCAGATTTGTCTTAATCAGCAAAATCATTTTTTTGAAAGTTCAGAAGAGTGTATCTGAAAAATATAAATACGTTTGTCGGATTTTGCTGAGTTTCGCCAATTATTTTTTTTTAATGTTGAGTTATTTATACGTAAGGAACATTCCCAAGTAATATTTTCTCGGTCGTGTAACATCGATACATTTGTGGCAAATTATGCACGCATGTCTAATGTATCTGATAACTCCCGCCCAACGTGTAACAGAAGGTCCTCAAAGATTTCAGTCCTAAATCCGAGCTGGGAGAAAATAAACATGTGATTAGATTTTGAATTATTTTAATGCGCAAAGAAATAACGCGTTAAATAATGATAATCAAAACCGAACAAAAGTTTCTGAATTTATGTCACGGGTGAAATAAAGATTTCATAAGCGCTACAAAGAGAGAAATAAGCAATATATATCTGAAGAAAAAAATTATATTAAAAAAAGATATTAGATTCCATTCCCCTCTTGCTGTATCCTTTTTCATTCAAATTCAGATTCCGCGATGCAGGTTTCATACTCGAAATAGTTGAGTTTATAAAAAAAACGGATCTACGAGAGAGACGTATTTGTATAGAACATTTACCGTGTTCTGTGATCTTCTACCGCGTAAAAGTGGAACTGTATAAAAAAAAAAAAAAAAGAAAAAGGTGTCGCGTGAATCAAAGGGGGACAGGTGGTATCGGTTTTTCAATCCCATGTCGCTTTGTATTGTACATATACGTGTGTGTGTGTGCATGTGTGTGCCAAGTTACACAGTTATAAAAGTTAACACGATAGCTCGCGACTGTTTTTCCTGCGTGACCGGAGTTCCACGATTATCAAATCAGATCCCGCTCGTGGGATTTGTCGCAAGGGAAAAAATCAAATTGCTGGAGGGACATGCGTAAAGAGATGGCGCCATCCGAATTCCGGCGTGCGTTATCAGACGCGAGGTCGACGCGCCAGAGTTCTCGTATTAGCGCGCATGAACGCGATTCTAAATCAACCCTGATCGCCTGGAATGAACCGCCGGCGGCGGCGGCAAACGTCTAGCATCGATAAAATCCGATCGAATCTTCGAGGCCGGTGCGCATTCCCGATGACGTCATACCGTACATACCTTGTATTTTCGCACGTGCACGAGCGGCAGCGTTTCTCGGACGGGGATGATCGACTGGGAGGGGGGAGGAAGGAAATGATCTCGGGAACGTCCTCGTTCTCATATGTATTACAAAAACCCCTTAACGAGACACCTTTTTGTGTGACCGAGCTACAAATTAGCGTCGTTTCCGACGACGATGACGACGGTGGCGGTGAGGGCCGTCAGGCGGCGTCGACCAACCCCGTGTCGCGCGAGAATCGATAGTCTGCGTGCACGAAAGGCTGATAAGCGCCCCGTAACGGCATGACCATCTCGTTTATTCGCCTCCGCGAATATTCATCCTCTTGACTAATCGCTCCCGGAAAAATATCAGACCCGGAAACCTGAAGATTGAAGTCGAGCGAGGGCTCGAGCGAGCCGCGCGAATCAAGCAAGGGCGATTAAAAGCGAGACGGACGATCCGAGAAATCAATGGACGTCAGACTGAACGTCAGAATGTTGGAATACCGGAGTAGGTCGGACGCGAATCGACTAGTCTCGCGAGCAGGCCTGTATAGTAACATGGACGAACGATTCGACAATTCCATATCGGAGAGACTCGAGATGATCCGTTAATCGCACGACACACTCGTCGATCGGGGTGGATGTTCGAATATCCTCCCTCTCTCCATTTCTTCTCTCGCAGATATTCCAAAGGAAAGTGATCCGTCGTGATGGACACGTTTCCACTCGAGCGCGCAAACATTCGACCCTCTCCCTTCGTGACAAATCCCTCGTGTTCGCCTCTTGGATGAATACCCACCCTCGGTCGCGCTCTCTTCATGTCTCGGAGATCTTCCGCGACATCTCGACGGCACTGCTCCGGTTCTCCGCATTCTCCATGTCGTCGCGACGTGACGATGGCGCTCCGCGACGATTGGCGCACCGGGTGATATCGCACAATAAATTGTAGGCACTACGTCGTGTTCGTTTCGTCCCTGAATTCGCGCGAGCGGGTTTCTCTTTCTCTCTCTCTCTCTCTTTCTCTCTCTCTTTCTCTTTCCGTCTCCGGCAGAAGGTCAGGTCAGGCAGGGAGAACGCACCGCGGTCGCAGAGGGCGTTTTCCCCGTCGCCGTGCTCGCGAATGGACGATCATCGGCGGCGGTCAGGCTTTCATCGCGGCGACATCCGGCAACACCAGCACGGACGACTCATCGTCATCGTCGTCGCCGGTTTGCGTCGTTGTCCCCGTGACCGACCGACAGCGGATGAGACGAGGGGCACCGACGGGCGACTCGATTGCAGCGCGTATAGAACTGATCTGACGAGAGGAACGACGACGGCGTCGGCGTCGGCGTCGGCGTCGGCGTCGGCGTCGGCGTCGTCGTCGTAGTCGTCGTCGTCGTCGGAGTGGGGTCGGACGTCGCGAGGGCGACGGAGGGTGCGGAGGATGCGGAGGGTGAGCGCGCGCACCCCGAGCGCTTTTCCCGAAGCGTCGCGACGATATCAAGTGGCTCTCTCGAGTTGCGACCGAGTTCGAAGCGATGACTTTTAGATTCACCTTTATGATTATATTAGACAGAATTCGCGATTTTCGTATAAATCTTAAAAATTATATTATCACGATTTATTTTTGTGCTATGCTAAGTCGTCATTATTGCTTTGGACGTTGTTTCATTCCAAGCACTTTGAAATAGAAAAGATATTTTATGGTACTTGAATTTTTATTGCCTGAAACGGAGATGAATACAGAGAAAAGAGAAATGAAAAAAGAAGAGAATATAAAGAAGAATGAGACGACGATAATTTGATTGATAAATATAAAGAATGTTACATACGCATAAAAATTAAATATAACAGACTTTATACTAATTGATTAAAAGTATAGAATTAAAAAAATACCATAGAAGCATCGTGAAATGCGTATTCGATGCATCTAATGTATAAATGAAATATATTCTCGAAAATGGACAAAAAAGATATTCTACTTTTTATTCGCGATTTTACTAATGTTACAGTTGCAACCGATATATCTCATTTGTAGCATATTTTATTTCTATTTTAAAATGCATAGTTTTTTTTAATGTAGCGATAAACATCAATAATATCAATTCCAATCGACTAATCGCGTTATTCTAATTAATATACGCAAGCTTGAAAAAGAAAGCTGGATATTCAATTGATATTTTATTATGACCGTTCAATGCGCATTATAAATGTAAGTCTGTCCCACGTAAAATTGAAAAAAAAAAGAATCGATGTGCTATTGGATTACGAACTTTGCGGGGTTTATCTCTGCGAAATTTATGATCACATTCCCGATTTCCCTTGTATCATTTAAGATATCGATCTACGTATGAAATTAACTGTCTCTCCATTTCTTCCCAAGGTCTCATTCACGATTAAAATCATGCGATTTTAAAGTTCTCGTCTTTTAATTTCAAATTCGACAAGGCTAACTAAAACCAAGGTATTTTCCTTTCCGAGGTCACGCAATCATCCTCTTTTACTGCCACTTTTTCTTCGATTCGACATATCCTACGAGATTGCGATTTTTCACTGCGAGACGATCAAAACCCGTGGGAAAAAATCCGAGTTACCCCTGTCGTTTCGCCCTTTTTATAGCTCATAAAACATCTGTCTTCATCTCATTCTTCTTTATACTCTTCCTCTCTAATTCTTCTTCTCTCTTTTCTCATCTCTCTACTTTAGAACTCGGCCATATAAATAAGTGAAGGAGGAGTGATCTTTTTTTCTATTAGATTATAATCCTTATTTATATAAATATAAAGAGATGAATAAAATATATATTATACGAAAAGTGATTGATATACATTTATATATTCGATTACAACTTTTTTTTAAAAAAATGTTCAATTCGTGTTAAAAATTATTATATATCGATCACACACATATTCCGTCGATTTGCAAAAATGCCGTTCATTTCTCATTCTTTTGTACACAATCTGTTCTATAGGAACTGGAAGTATTTGTCTGGAAGTATTACAAATCTCTTCATTTTTCATCAACAAAGTTTTTTATCATTTTTATATTATCTCTCAATCACAGATAATATTGAGATAAAATATATCAGACAAAATATATTTTTTTTCTATTAGATTATAATCCTTATTTATATAAATATAAAGAGATGAATAAAATATATATTATACGAAAAGTGATTGATATACATTTATATATTCGATTACAACTTTTTTTTAAAAAAATGACTCTCTCTTTCTCTCTCTCTCTCTCTCTTGATTCGATAGCATATAATTTTCCTAAGAGACTATAGTCAGAAATGTCTAACAATAAATTACATTGCATCTAACAATAAAATTTCAAAGACGATGTTATAAGATTATCAAAACATTTCCTTAAACAAAGATTAACATCACAAAATTAGTAGAATAAAGTATATCATAAAAAGAGTTTTTTAGAGGAGAGAAAGTTAGATATCACAAGATCGTATACAATCATCATTTTTTTTTTT